AACCATAGGCTACAGATTATTTACTAGAGACAGAGTATTTTAAAAAGGGGGAGGAGTAGCTTTATATGTAGGGAGTGAATTGCATCCTGTTGAGTTAGATTATATTAAAGAAATTCGCACTGAGGTTAAGTCAGTTTGGGTTGGTGTTAGTGGATATAAAAGGAAAAGTCTTGTAATCAGGATTTGTTATAGGCCACCACGTCAGAATGTGGAAGTTAATGAGAAACTGTATAATAAGATCAGTATGGTAGCTAAAAAAGATATTGTTATTATGGGAGATTTTAATTTTGGGGTATTTATTGGGAAAATTTCGAGTCTGACAGTGAGGGGGATAGTTTTTGGAAATTATTCAGTATATTTTTATACACTAACTGTTGATAGAACCTACAAGAGAGGAAGCTATATTAGATTTAATATTAGCATCTGATGTGAATATGATAGAGTTGTGGTTGGTGAGCATTTAAGTACAAGTGACCATTGCATTATTAGGTTTGGGATTTTACAACAAGTAAAATTGAAGAAGAAGAGTACCCTGATTCCAAATTTCAGGAAAGCCAATTTTGATAGAATGAGATGTGATCTGGCCTCTGTAGATTGGACTAAAGAGTTGGGAGGGGATTTTGAACAGATGTGGGAAGCATTTAGGGAAAAATTGATATGCATACAGAACATACATATTCCCTACAGAAAATAAAAAGGGCAATGAAGCAGAATAAGCTTGTATGGTTTAGTAAAGGTTTAAGAGACCATATTAGGGATAAACATAATAAATTCAATAAATTTAAAATTGCTGGAAATAATAAGTACTTGAAGGACTATAGGAAATCAAGAGAGCTGTTTGAAAAGGAAGTAAAAAGGGCAAAAACTGTATACGAAAGAGGGTTGGCTGACAGAGTTATATCAAACAATAAGGAATTCTTTAGGTATATGATGAGTAAGCAAAATGTTAGGATGGAGATTTGGCGCCTCTTAAAAATGATAGTGGGGAGCTGATTTCAGACAATTATGAGATGGTAAACTTATCAAAATATATGTTCTCTTCAGTTTTACAAAGGAAGATACAAGTATTATATCTCAACCAGAACACTTAATGTATGGGGAAAATATTGATGTAAAAGATATAATTTTAAGTTCTGAAATTGTAAGAGAAAAGTTGGAAAACCTCAAAATTGATAAATTCCCTGGACCAGACAACCTAGAGTTTTAAAGGAACTTAAAGATTTTGTAAACCTCTAGCTAATATTTTTTATAGGTCATTGAGTATTGGAAGAGTATTAGAATATTGGAAATTGACTAATGTTAGACCAATATTAAAAAAAAGGTGATAAACATTGTCCAGGTAATTTAGTTGGAAAGTTTTGGGGGAGTGTAATTAAAGATGCATTTCAAAGTCATTTAAAACAGTTTGATATACTGTCAAAGACCGAGCATGGTGTGACTAAGGGAAAGTCTTGTTTAACATATCTTCTGACATTCTTTGAGGATGTTACTGCAAGAGTTGATGAAGGAAATGCTGTGGATTTGGTTTACCTTGATTTTTAGAAAGCGTTGATAATTTGATAAGGTGTCTCACAAAAGACTTGTTACAAAAATTAAATCTGTGGGTGTGGGGGAAATGTTATTAAATTGGATAGAAAATTGGCTGGAGAGTAGAAACCAGGGAGTAACAACAAATGGAGTTAGATCAGACTGGATCACAGTTACAAGTGGTGTGCCTCAGGGCTCTGTGCTGGGTCCTCTGCTGTTTGTGATTTATGTTAATGATATTGACTCTAGAATGACTGACAGAATTTTAAAGTTTGCAGATGACATTAAGAATTTTGGGGTGGCTAACTGTATCAAAGATGCTGCAGACTTACAGGGAGATTTAGATCATTTGATACACTGGGCCAATACATAGCAGATGATGTTTAAGTATCCAAAATGTAAAGTTATACATGTAGG